TGATCATCAATTTTTTGTTGACATTTTGATTCAAGTTCTTTGAGGCCAGCAAATTTAAGTACGCAAATCACTAAAGTTGTATATAAACTTTACTATACCGAGAATATTCGATATAGTAAAGATTCGATATAGTCAAGAAAAACCCCCGTCCCGTCGACTATATCGAGTCTTGACTGTAATATGAATTTTTGCGTGCTGTCCTGTCTGCGGAACTTTAAATTCTATCAGACTTTCACAGCCGAGCCTATTAAATTTACCATATTTGGCATTAATTTGGTGGACCAATCATAATTTAGTGTCCTTGGCGGCGAGAATAAATAAATTTATTGCATTAAATCCACATTATTAAAGACACCAATTGAAATAAACAACAGAAATGCAATATATAAGACTAGTCTATTGGATGAAAAAAAAATACAAGTTCGTTTTTAATGACAAATTATACGAGTAAGAAAACAATGTATGCATTATTCCAGAAGTCACAACTATATACACAAGAGATTAATTATGGAAACACCTCTGAATTTGATCCTCTTGATCAAGTGGAAGACAGCAACGGTTTCACATAGTATTTACGTCTAACCATTTATCACTACGAGTGCACAATTTTCTGTTTCAGTTAAGCGCCCGTTTGAGGTCGTTCCACTTACGCCGTAAGGCTTCTCGCTCATTCTCACTTTCTGCATATCGCATTTTATATTCAATAAGCATACTCTCAGTAGTAGCTAACTGATCTTCAAGCTTATTGTTTTGTGTAACAAGCTCAACGTTCTTCTTTGCTAGTGAATCCATCTCAGCACGTAGCTTTTCTTCTATCGCTGCGGGCGCATTATCTAATGCCAAACGAAGATCTGCAACTGTTTGGCGCAGCGCATCGTTCTCATCTTTGACCCGAACTAATTCTACCTTATTGCCCACATGTAAGTTAGCTAATTCGATGTGTTCTCTATTAATTGTCTGTAAACTGGCTTCCAGCTGTTTAATTTGATTGGAAAGATGATTGTTGGCTATCCTCAGTTGTTCTAATGCTGACGATTCGGCTGCTTGTCTCTGTCTTTCTGCTTCCTGTATTGCATAATATTGTTTCTGATACTTGTTCAACCTTCTCATTGTAATGCTGACCGAATAAGCATCCTTAACAAATTCATTCGCATCGTACTGATGCTCAGAGACAACTTCTTTAGCAAGTACACCAGTAGGAATGATCTAGCGCAAATAGCCCATGTTAGTAATGTTTTTACTAGATATTATACAAAGTGTACAATTAACTTGACAGTATTCTTACCGCATAGCTGTTATATAAACCACTCTTAAGAAACTCGAGCAAAGCCTCAAACTCCATCCCGAGAATGGCAGCCTCGTTCTTTTTGAGCAAGGCAATACAAAATCGGAATAGAGCTTCAACCCCCTCAGTGAATATGGTATCGTATATCCTGAATACAAGAGAAAGCGGAAACTTGTAGGCGAATAACGTCATAAACCATTGTGATGCATACATTGATGAATTAATTCCTTGTGTTTTGAGATGAGAATTGACTTTGGGAAGCATATCTTCAACCAATCTATCGAATTGATATAAACGCAATTGAAGTCCATCCATTCCGGGAAGGAAATTCCCGCGTAGATTGTAAATGGTCATAAGGCGAACTAGAACACAGAATGCTCCTTCGTCTGGCATCTACAAGTTATACCCATGTCATGTATAAATGTTGAGAAAAAAGAGGGGAGAAAAAAGTAGGTTAACAAAAGAACATAATCTCTTCTTTCTTTGCTAATATAAAACACAGACACGTAAATAGAAACCATCCTGCTTTAACTGTAACAAATATGAAACTATTTGCAATTTTCTGATATTATGCAGCTGTACTTACGTTAAGCAACAGTGGACCCACAACAAACGATATTCCTTGACAATATCCCACTTCTCTATCATATAAGGAATACGCTTTGACGACGTTAAACAATCCCTCTTGCCCGATTCCGTTCTGATCTCGGAAGTATTCATGCTTCGGGAAAGTACGATTGAGATCTCTCATAATTAGCTTTTCGTGAACGCTTGTTTTCTTAAGCAGCTGCGCGTATATAGTCTCTAGTTCTACATCTTTTGACTTTGACATCAACTGCCAGATCATGCCTCGTAGTGGAGTGGGTATGCCTTTCTGAATTGTCCTTGATAAAACTTTTGGTTGGGACTTGGCGACTGCTTCATAGTCATTGACGACAAGACCCCAAAAATCTGACAATTAAACGCAAAGTTAGCATTTTAGCTTACACATTTCAAAGAAATCCGACGCCTATATATCACAGTCCTCCCGTGTCCGAAACTTACCCCAGTCAATATCATCTTCTACAGCCTCAGTTTGTACGCGCTCGAAACTTTTCTTGATTTCTCCGACAGCAGTCATATTAGCTTTCAGTATTTTAGGATCATCTGCCAAAATCTGGTTGTCTTTGTCTAGCTTTGCCAATAATAAATCGGTACTAGATCCGGTAGACGTTAATGAAGCCATAGACATGTGCCTAGATTCAGTATTATCACTGACGGTGGTTGGTGGAGAAGCGGAGGAAGGTCGAGAACTAAATATTGAAGTGAATGATCTGACTGAATTGGGTGACTTTGGAAAGTTCAATTCACCGGACAAGTCATCATCTTCACCCTGTTCAGTATGTGATGAACCGAGCGGAGCCAGAGTGGACAGTGGTCGAAAGTATGAAGCAAAGGATTTAAGCGAATTCGGAGTACGTGGTAGATGGTTAGAGAACCAGCCCCCAGAATTTTCTTCTTCACGTTCCTCATCGTCGAGCGAGATATCGTTAAGTTCCGGATTCTCGCCGAGAGAAGCAACCGACACGCGGTTAGTTGGAGACTTTTCATTGTCAACGTCATCTACTGTATCGACAGGGGTTCGACTGTAGTCAGAATAGCGATCAGAGGAGAAACTAGACTTGGACATAATTGAATCAGCATCCGTTCTATCATCCATGCTCGAGAGAAACGTGGGTGACGGGGGGATTGCTGAGGAGGCTAACTGCGACTCTGAGACGCCATTCGAAATGGGCGTATGCTCGACCACACTGTTGTCGTTATCATCATTCGTGAAATGATCGTTTATGCGGATATTACCGAATTCAGTCGAATGGTCCGACTTGTTATCATAATCACTTTCACATGGCTCTTCAATAGTCCATTCAGAAGAGGACATCTTTTGACTTGGATCATCCTTGCTGGTGACTTTCTCCACCTCGTGCGATTCCGGTTTATCTGATTCTGCCTCGCTAGACGCATCGTCAGATTTATCCTTGTCGTCTTTTTCACTCTTGGGTTCATCAACTGTTTCTGGGAATTCGTCAAAACGCTTGCTGTTCTCAAGTGCGTTCTTTCTGAGCGAGTCGTGATCGTTTGTTGCGTCTGCCTCGTCGGTATGGAATGAATTTATACTGTCGTCATCATCGGACTGTGCCAACTCTTTCTGGTGTGTCGTATCATTGTCATTGATGTACTCTATTGCATTGCTATGTATCGAGTTGTCGGCGTCCTGTTCGAGGTGAATGAAAGAATTGTCTTCAGAATTAGCGGATGTGGGAGATTCGGTATTCACGTCGTCTTCATACACTGACGAAGACTCTGATACTACAGAGCCATCCGATGGTCTTCGTTGACTGTGGGAATCATTGTCACGATCTGTCTCGTAAGAAGAGGCGTAATCAGCAAAGTTGTCGTCTTCGTCCTCGTTTACGCCGTCGTTATTATTAACCGACTTTCGGACGTCGTCATCATTCGACTGTTGGGAGTCGGTTTGAGAAAAGTGTTGAGTTTTTAGTATAGTAGGTATGAGCTGTTCTTGCTGTACACCCGTTGCCATGAGTGCAGATTTGGAGGAAACGGGAGAGAGAATTTGAGGGGGAACGGGGGGAAACGGGGAAGGAAGAATTGTATAGAGAATTAGAAAATATCGAATTTTAGGGCTGGAATTGCTATAAGGATTGATATATTTCAGTGTTGTGTCTCAAACATTGAATTATGCGTGTGTAATGTGTCTATCCTTATGGGGTATTATGGACTAGTCGTGGTAAGAATGTAAATGATGTTGCATCGGATGTGGTTACTATATAACTATACAGTATATCACACATGTATTGTTATTACCATGTCGTCCGTTTGTGCTCGGAATACTGGGATAACAAAACGGTTGGTGACATGGGACAAGAGGCAAATCATTCAAAGAAAGTAACGGTATTCGAACTCTTAGGAGTACTGGACGATTATTAGTGTTTAATATTAGTATTACCTCATACTTATATTATCGCTTGTGTAATTAATATAACTCCCCAATGAACGTCTGTTTACTCTCTTCCCCCATTATTAATTGAATATGTAAAACAAGTCAAATTGTGTCAAACTGTGTCAAAATGGTGGCTTTTTCGGCCATTCTATCATTGTACTACTAAAATTATCCAATCATTCAAATAATGTTCACGTGATATATTTAATAACTACGCATTTTATATCATTATCTCTCATATTGTCGACGTAAGCATACCCATTATTGATATATTCCCTAATAGTAAGAGATCAAAGACTTTCAAACAAGTAATAAACTATCTGTAATTCAACTCTCCATTTACCGATCAAACAATGACGGCTTTTCATATTACCTGTCATTGGCTTAGATAATGAGTAATTTAATAACATCTTGTCATCTTGTGCAATAGAGACAAATGTATTTTTGAAAAACAAAACAAGTCGGTATAATAACAAATATGTGTGTATATTAATGATAATTATATGACTCACTGGCTTAGCCCCTTGCTGTCTGTACATAATAAAAGTGAGTATTTTTCATTTAACAAACGCACATAAAAATAGACGAGCAGAATAATAATTTTAAATTATTTAAACTTGCAAAAAGACCAGCGTTACGCATAAAGAATTCTTTAGTTTGGAATTACTTTGCTTTCAAATACAATAGTGTCATTGGGTTGGAATTAAAAGTCAAGGCAACGAGTGTGCAATACATAATTCTCTATCCGATATTTCTTACATGTCTAAAGTGACAAAAACTATCGCATACGTTACAATTATACATGAATAGATAGATATAAAACAAAAATAACTATCTTATTATTACACAACCTTTCCTTGTTATACAAATTATTTAAAAACAATATGTTATAGACGATCTTTGAGAAAATAAACCACACTTACTTACGCATTGTTAAAATTTGTTTAGACGTCTTATGAGCTTAAAAATGTTTGAGCAGACATAAATCAAAAATTTATTGTATTTTTTGAAATTTATGTTTCTCCACTATCAATATTGATTTTGGCAATTAAAATTGCCAACAAGTTTGTTGCACTCAAACCATAGCTATTGATGCATGAGCATTATTATTACACTATTGTTCGTTATAAATTACGCCAATTTTTTATTTAGGCAAAGCCTAAACAAAGTGGTTAATTTAATACACTTATTTATATTGAGTATTAAGTAAATCATCTTAATAATAATAAATAGAATAACCATATAAAGATGTGATACAATATTTACGTTGTTTCATCATCAGTGTTACGATAAAATAGTTTTCAATAATGGTGTCTCTTATTTATGATCTACATACAGAACATAGCTATTGCAACAAAACATGTACGTCCGGCTTTTGAGTAATATCATAGTACAACAAGAACAACTTGGTAATGTATCATTGGTATGCAGAATTATTTATTAAATAAAGTGCTTATCTGACCAATTGTAACAAAACCTATGTATTACAAAATTACTTCATATTGCTTTGAATTTAAATTTTAATAATGCATAGACTTTGCATTGTTACTTCAGTCTGTTATGTAATTAAACTGAATTTATTTCAAAAGTTCTTATTCTAGTATTTATTTTCATCAAAATTCCTACTATTACTGTACTGTCATGTTCAGCAGATAAATTATAAAAAATTTTAACTCAGCGTTATATATATTATGCACCTCTTTATTACCCTAAAGCCAGACCCAACTTTTCTCAAGATTTTGTATTAACTAATTGTTCCGTCAGGACAATTTTTAAAAATGCAACTTTCTGTAAAGTAGACGACATCCTGAGATATAAATTTAAAAACAATGTTAGCAAGACAGAACAAAGTTCCCACATATCACTTGCGATAAATGCAACCTACGCAGAGGGATTGAAAATTGAAGTGAGCAAATATAAAATCACAAATGGGACTAAAACGTTCACATTGCACAAAAAAGGTTTACCTGCTGGGCCCTATGTACTTCGTCCTCCAAGTGTTCCTGACACCGAGTTATAATGATATGGTCAACCCACTTTCCTCTTGACTTTGGCCCGCATGTTAATGATGGCATAATGAAGTTGATCGCGCCAAGCACACTAGAGATGATTCTATTTGGTTTGTTCGTATTCTTCCAAATAATCAAAGCCCATTTCATTAACTTATCTTCCATGGTAGGTTTAAAGTTTTCACTTTTATCGACCAGCACATGATAGTGACAATAGCCACTGCTGAAATTGCGTTTAACTTCAATGCTAGTACTAGCAATTCCTGCCTCAAATAGTGTAGGAGCTGGGAAAGCTCGGAAAGACATCCACTGTTTTTTCCATTGTTTGTCTCGTGAATTCGCACCCTAAGAACAAAAGTCACGATCGAGTAAAACTTGGAAAAAAACCCAACAAAAACGCCATCTGTCGAACCATTTGGACGAGAAAGCTCCTCCGCTACTTTCACGCCCGTGGGTTCTAACTGATCGAACACCCCCCGACGCCAACACATAACGCTTAACCAAGAAGCGCTTAGGGGAAGTGCATAGGAAGGAAACTGACGGCTCTTGTGTAGGCTGGGCTTTCCAAAGGAAAGACTGGCATCCCAGCGGGGACTGAAGTTTGCTTCCAACCTTGTCGATGACCAGCGGCGTCCCGAAATATTTTTTTTAGCTGCGTTTCGTGTGGACGAAATGCTGGTGTCAAGGAAATTTTTAACCGAAGTGTGTAAAAAAAAAAGCCTCGCAGAAAAATGGGAGGATCGGGATCAGCATCTATGTCACGTGTTCCAGAAAAAATCGCGTCTCTGGTGTATTGCCTGGCGCTGGTAGGGAACATCCTTGACTTGCCGTCTATTACAGTCATGTGACATAGACAAATCTAATCACAGCGACGCGTTTTTGATAGATCGGCGGTTGCGTTTTTGATATATCCGCAGTAAAGTCACGTTTCACTGATAACCTGAGGTTCATCCGTTGCGGTATTAGTGACTGTATTCTAATCGATCCAATGTCAGACGTATAACCATAGTTCATCTTTGATATTCCCAAGACTCTTTCTACGACTATACATAACTTTTTTGCAAA